AAAAAAAAAAAAAAAATCTCCTATATATATATATATATATCCTTTTCACTAAAAGAAAGGCATTGAATTTCTTTTTTGTTAGTTTGTCCAAATACCATATTGGTCTGCGAGAGCTGCCGTGGCTCGCAATGCTCCTAGAAATGCCAGTAACCCCACCAGAAGTGATAATACTTCTAACATTATACTTAATGCTGACTGTAGGAATATTTTACATTTCCAACATATCATAGCTAAACTGGTCTTTTTACTTCTTCCACTTTCCCATTGTTCACGTTTAAGAAGATAATAATACTGTGAAGGTGCGAGTGAGGCATTATAGGTAGGATAACGATGTCTTCCCATCTTCTCTGCAATGGAGCTTCTCTCTGCTGCTGCTGCGTCTCCCTTCATTCTATATCGTATTTTTCTCTCCATTACACTCACCGCCCCTTCACTCTGCTGCATCGATACAAAGAAACGGACGCCCATCAAACCACCCTGCAGGGCATCTTGTGATAATCCCAAAGCCGGTGGTCTCTCATTTAATAGAGGAATATGTACACTTGTACTACTACCTTCTTCTTCTTCTTCTTCTTTTCCTCTATTTCTTTGTTTACTTCTCATCGTAATAGTAGAATTAGTATTAGTATTAGTATTAGTAGTAGTATTAGTGCTAATGGATTGTGAAGATGAAGACGGGGGTATTGTGTGTTCTAACAAACGCACAGACATATTCGCCATCGCATCATCTCCACTTTGTTCCTGCGGTATTACTGTGATATTATTTATTTCTTCACAGCAGGATTCCTTACATACTATACGGGCTACAGATGTATTTAATCGTAAACACCGCCGTCGTTCCCACCAAGATCGTAATAATAATAACACCGGTAATGAAAACACTAATGGCGCTAGAAAGAATCCACCACTTAAAGCCGCAAAAAGAACAATTCGTCCATACAATTGATCACTAATAATAACAGAAACAAATTTACTACAATGAGGAGATTTACTATTACCACCTCCATTGTCTAATACACTCCAGGGAAGTTGTTGGGATAATTCCACGGGTTCTGTTTCCCAAAATGCCCAGAATCCATAACAACGGGCACTTCCTCCAGCCACAAGTAATGAAGTTACCATGATAACAAGAAATAAAAAAGGAACTCGTAGAAGTAATACTTCCATAATATGATAACGAAGCCAATTTCCTTCTAATGTCATTCGACGAAGATGTTTAAATAATTCTAATACTCGAATACCATCACCTGCGCGGGTTGTGGCATAATATTGCTCTGGATGAGTTATGAAAGGACTTGAGAGATCAAAGACTACACTACCAAGTTTAACAAACTTTTTCTCTACCTTTTTTGTTTTAGAATTATTATTATTATTATTATTATTATTATTATTATTATTATTATTCATTGTATAACTATTCTCCGATTCACGTACAGAGATTTCGTTATTTCTATTAGAACGGGATATACAATTACGAAACCAGCATGATAGTGAAAACCACCGTGAAAATAATTTCCTTTCCGTTCTATTATTGTTATTATTATCATCCATAACCATAATATCACCAGAACTACAATCCACAGAGGTAGAAGTAGTATCTCTTGCCATATGTGAGGAACTATCTTCATTACTACTAACTCCATGAGGTTGTTCGGCCGCTTGTTTAGATCGCAGAAAGGCAGAAACCGCAAAGGCTTGACGTTCCTCTAATTGTGCTCCTGGACGAAGATTAGCCAACATACTACTAACATGCACAATAAAATACGGTACCCATGCAAAGAAGACAAATCCTGTGAGGAAACTCAATACAGCTGCAAACCGTAAGGACCCTACATGTAAACCTTCCATAATACCAAGGGAACATACCACCATCTCTTCTTGACTATCACTATTACTATAAGCCATTGAATACGTAATATTATTACTACTATTACTATTACTATTACTATCACTACTACTATTAGCATTACGTGGTACGGCGGTCCAAAGCAATCGTAGTGACAATGGGGCTGCAAGCGACGGCATATACATAGTTGTTCCCACAAAAGCCGTAAAGGTAAATACTAATGTGATACTTAGAAATAGTATAAATGCCCAACGGAATGTTGTACCAAATCCACTTTCTGTAAAAACTCCACTATGAAAAGAACCAGAAGAAAACCAATAATGATCCTCTTTCTCTCTTCGTAAATATACACCTGGTGATTTACGTTTCCACAGCAATGGAAGAAGATAAAGATGATATGTTCCCGCTCTTACAAAACTCACCCCACATGCAAAAAGCCAAGCAAGTAAGGCTAAACTTAATGAGAGTCGTAATAAGATATATGCTAATCCCTTCCAGTCCATCCAGTAATCTACATAAGAAAGTGTATCCTGCATCCAAGCCATACTCGGCACATTACGATCCCATGTGTGTTCAACAAAAAAACGAAGGGGAATATCAAACCAACTGGGGGATCGCTGCAGTGTCCATCGCACCTGCAAAGCCACAGTTGTGAGAAAATATAAACCAAACACCGCAAATGAGAGGAGACGAAATATTCCAGTTTCCCACCACCAACAGAATCGATTACGGCCTTTAGCGGGACCCGCAATACAAACAACTACCAATAAAAAAGGGAATAAGGCTACAAAGCGAATATGTGCTCCAAGAACACAACCTCTTGGAGAGTTTAGAATACTCACAATATCAAAGGTGGAATGATCCCATAAGGTATTAATAGATGCCACTGCACCACCTGTTAAAGTAAAACCAAATGAGAGAAATAAAATGGCAGCGGAAAGAAGTGTACCCATATAAAGTACAGCAGTCGTAAAATATAAATACCTACCACCAATACGTTGAGTGAGTTCAAGTAAACTCGGTGAAAGTAATAACCAACTACCATTACAAGATCCATCATTACTATTACCAATAGTATCACCATGGATGTTACTTTGACGGCGCTCCGAGGAAGAAGCGGAAGGCCATAAATTAACAGAAAAGCAGAGAGAATAGAGTTCAACCACATGTCGATAGACCAATACACTAAGGATTAGTGCAACCATGAAAATGAAAAGTCCAGAGATGGCAACAGCAGATGTAAACATAGAAAGTCCAACAAAGAGTGATAATGGCATAAAAGTAGCCAAGAGAACAAGATACTGCTTAAGGGCCCGAATACAACTATCTCGTTTACTCTTGCTTCTGTTATTATTATTATTATTATTATCATCATCACCATCGTCATCATTTTCATTTTTATGGATATTGTGATTATGCTTGTTTTCATTCCCAGTACTACCACTACTACTACTACTACTACTACTACTACTAATGCTCTCATTATAATTATAATTATTATTATTATTATTTTCATCACCTATAGGATGGTTTTCATCCATTTCCTTTTCACTACCTAACTTTCTCTGCAGAATATATGTGGATGTTGCAAGTGATTTCTCAACATCCCTCATTTCTCCCTGTTTCTCCTTCTGCTTCTGTTGTTGTCTGGCATTTTTCACTCCTCCTGCCTTTAAACTTGCAGAGGATACCTTTATTTCTTGAAAAACACAACCACAAGAGCCATTCCCATTATCCACAGCAGTTGAACCCATATGACTACTATTACTTCTACTATGGATTTTACTACTATTCGCACTATTATTATCACTACCACTATGATTACTGTTTAGAGTAGTACCTGTACGTCGACGTGATTTGGGAGAAACGAGAGAATGCATTTCCATTGCATACGCCTGCATAGATGGTGTGCCCCAATGACAAATATGCGATTCCCCACTTACTCTACCATCTCCATCCATATTCATATTTGCAATCTCAAGAAATGTGGGAACTACACTTGTGGATGTTAAGTTTCTCTCTGGCGTTTGCAACGACGATACAGCAAACGCGGTGTGCGTTGTCGTTTCTGATCTTACTGGTAAATATTCCTCCTTTGTAATCATTTCAGCCATACTTGATTCCCTATTCTCAATCTGATCTAAAGACTCTTCTTTTTCCTTTTCTTCTTCTTCTTCCTCTTCTTCTTCTTGTTCTTGTTCTTCTTGAGAGTCATTATCTTCCATTTCTGCCCAGAGAGCACCGTGTCGTCGAAGTCGATTCACACTGCGAATCCAACGACGTACACCACGTTCCTCCGCATCAATAGACTCCGGCACAAACAACAGTTGAATAATATCACTGAGATACTGTCGTTTTTCTTCTTCTTGCTGCTGCTGTTGTTGTTTGTTTGTACATAATGATGATGAGGATGGTGGTGATGTGGATATCGTGTTGTGAAGATGAACATCTTCTACATTTTCTGCTATAGGTATGGAGAAGGTCATCTCTTGTTTGGATTTCTCTGCAAATGGAGCTCCAACAAAACAACAACGTATTTCACTGGAACTATCTCTTCTTCTTTTTCCTGTTGTTGTTGTTGTTGTTGTTGTTGGTAGATCATATATGGAAACGGATGGTAAAATAGATTCTTGGACTTCACGAGATCCCGCTTTATAACTACCACCAAAACTCAAAACTGTATCATGTCCTTTAAGATGATAATACGCTTCTTCTTCTTCTTTTTCTTCTTGTGGAGTGATTGTTTTTTTTTTCTCAGGAGTATTCGGGTCACGATATTTATTCCCCGTAAACTTCGGTGATGAGCCCATATTATTATTATTATTATTATTATTATTATTATTATTATTATTATGACCATCGTTGTTAATATCACTCTTCTTCACAGCATGGGGACTACTATTTATATTTAACTTTCTATTCACTTCCACTTCCTGCTCAAGAGGAAAACTTTTATTCCCCGTATTTCTGCAAACGGAGCTCAACTGCACATCGTCAGTTGATTCAACAATCACCATGGATCCACTTTTCTTATCAATCTTATCAGCAAATAAACAAACCACCGCACGATGTAAAGGTTTACTACGGTCATTATCAGAAGAAGAGGATACCCATTGGATTCCTTCCCGATAATGATAATGATGATGTTCTTTTTCTTTTTGTTTTTCTCGAGCTGCTGAAGAAGGAGAAGCTGTGTTTGAGATTCTTTGATCTTTTTTAGTAGGAGTAACGGCTGTTTGTTTACGTTGTTTACTCCGTGATCTCAAAGCTTCATTACGCAAAGATAACATTCGTGTACTTTCTATACTACTCCATAGACTATAATAGGAGTCATTATGTGGTAGTTCCCGCTTCTCATTTACACAAGAATGATGAGAATGATGATGATGATTATTATTATAATTATGATTATTATAATCATCATCATCGCCTTCCTCATCTTCATAGGCATCAAAGGATTGTGAATGATGTACTGTTTTTCCACTCCTTTGATTTTGATTCTCCGACTGCTTTTGATTTTCCTTACAACTATCATTTTTACCACTATTATTATTATTATTATTATTATTATTATTATTATTATTATTATACAAACCACTATTCGTATGATGATGACTTTTTCCTTTTCCACCAGTATCGCTATCACTATCACTATTACTTTGATCACCCTGAGGTATATATCTTATTCCAAGAAGTGGCTCATCAGGGACACTATTATAAGATGAGTCTGATGTAGTGTAACTATCGGAATGTGAGGATACGGTACCCGCACTAGCACTATTAATAGGAGAGATAAGAGCAGGAATTCCAGAACCAGCCATAAGAGGAGCATCATGACTAGAAGAACTAAGAACAAAATGATGATCTGATCCTTGACTTACCCCTACTATTTTCATTGGGGATTGTTCTCCATAACGACTATTGGACATGTTTATTTCTTTCTCTGTTTGACTGTATATATGTATATATATGTATATATGTAATGTTTTTTTTTTGTGTATATATGTGCAACGATGAACTATTATCTACAGGGAATAGAAGGGATGTGAATACAGATAGTAGAGAATCTTCTTACGGCTTTGATAACGCTTTTTTTTCTTCTTTACTCTTTTTTCTTTTCTTTTCTTTTTTTTTTTTTGCTTTGTTTTGTTTTCTTGTTTAGATCCACGTTCTACTTCGGTGGTGGAGATGAAATTGCGCACAGAAGCGCACACGGGTACGAGTACTCACCCCCTTTTTTTTGCTCATATAAAAAAATATGTATATACACACACAGAGAGAGAGAAAGAAAAGAAGAAATGATGGTGACAAGAGTTAACAGTCAAGATATCTGACTCTCTTAAGAGAAGCATAACACAATAAGCAACAACAACAAGAAAATAAAGGAAAAAAAAAAAAAAACAGAGTTCCGAATGTATTTCCTCATCCAAATAGAGGGATATATGCGTATATATGTACAATCATACAAAGTAAAGCACTGAGAGAGAGAAAGAAATAATATATATATATATATATATATATATAAAAGTATTTATCTCTGCAATTTACACCGATATGTGCTATCATCAAATACAGAGCGAACACACTCCATTAACAAATCTACAAGTGGCTGCTCACTGCAGTTGCCGTCATTATCAACTTTATTATTATTATTATTATTATTATTATTATTATTATTATTATTATTATTTTCCCCTTCACTTGATACTGCGAAGCTAACACTCAATGGCTTTCGATTGCTTTTATTACTAGTGATGCTACTGTTAATATCGCACCGATAGACTGAAGAGACTACTGGTGCTGCTGTTGGCATAGAACGACGTAGAGAAGCCTGCCAGTTGAAGGGTTTCCCAGAAGAAGGAATAAAACAACATTTATTATTATTATTATTATTATTATTATTATTATTATTATTATTATTATTATTACTTGAGTTTATCAATCCCATCCCTTCTCTCTCTTTTGTTGTTGTTGTTGTTGTTGATGATGTGATGGGTAGAAGAATACGTGTTTGAAGATATTCCAAAAGAAGACTCCGCATACGCCTTCGCATTGCTGCTGTGAAGAGACTTGTACTTTTTCCATTTCTCTTCTCTCTCATTCCACTCTTGTGTGGAGAGTCTTGAAAGGATTGTTGTAATAATGCATTCCAACCTCCTTCAACCCCAAGAAAATTACGTGTAATTTCATCACAGGCCGCCCAGACGATATTTTCCTTTTCATCCTCCACAAGAGATGTCATCTCTATTCCATTTTCTTCTTTTTCCTTTTCTTCTTCTTCCTCTTCTTCTTCTTCTATTTTTCTTTCTGATAATGATAATGATAATAATAAGGCTTCCATCGTATCCCTCACATATTCCTCTAGATTCTGCATAAACATCATCATCTCCTCTACAATGCGTGTTATTCCCCGTTGGGAGTATAAAAGACGCCGTTCTTCTTCTTCTCTGCTCTCATGATAAACGGCGGTGATCCGACGACGATGAGTCTCTTCCAATTGCCGCATCTCCTCACGGTGTTTACGATCCAATTGGGTGAATTGTTCTTTCAATATCATCTCTTGTGTTAACAACTGCTGTTGAAGGGCTTTACGTTCTTCCAATAAGGCACGTTGACTGTTGGATTTCACACTTAATTGTTGTTCAAGCGTGATGATACGCGACTCCGCCTCTTGCAATTTTGACCGACACAAATCCACCAACGCCTTATAGGATGATTCTCCCATTGCCGATAAACCAGATGCCGTTGTATTATTATTATTATTATTATTATTAGGATTATGAGTATGAATAACTGTAGGGGGTTTGGTAGTTTCCATTGGTATTCCATTCTTTTCTAATACATGAGAGGAGTTGATGGATTGTTTAGATGGTCGACTGGTGTGAAGAAGGGCGGCGGTATTTTCAACCACTTGTCGTTTTGCCTCTTTTTCTTCTAATCTCTGCACTTTACGTTTTAGCAACCGTCGTGCCTCTTCTCTTTGTCGTAGTCGATTTCGTAGTTTCTCCACTGTTGCCATCATTTCCTGTTCCTGCAGTGTAGAGATACGATAGGCTTCCTCTACTTGTGAGAGAGTTTGCTCCAGTCGAGTGATATCTTCACATCGTTGTTGTAATTCCACTATAGTCTCATCATATTGTTGTTGTGTGTGTAGGAGTGTGGTCTGCAGTGTGGCTTGTTTCTCTCTTGCGAGTGTACACTCCTGTGAAAGTGCATCCACCCGTTGTCTAGTCTCTCTTAATGCCTCTTGTTGTTGTTGTAACTTGGCACGATGGAAGTTTGCCATTTCCTCTGCGAGTTGTTGTTGTTCTAACAATTCCCGTCGAGTGGCGGTATTTTGTTGTTGAAGTTGTGTACGCAAAGCATCACGTTCGGCTGTTATTTGTGTTTCTCGTGCTGTAGCTGCCCGACATCTTTTCTCCATCTGCACAAGTGCCGTCTCTAATTGTTCGGTACTCTGCACACAGTGGGCCACTTCTGCAGAGAGTTGCATACATCGCTGATGTTTGGCCTTTTCTTCTTCCTCCTGTTGAGTTGTACACATTAATCGTAATTGTTCTAATTCCCGCATGGCGGTATCTAATGCGGTTTGTAATTTTTGCTGTTCCACACGTTCTGCATGGCGTTGTTGTTGTTGTTGTTCTTGTTGTCGTTGTAATAAAGATTCCCCGGCTTCTACTTGTTTTAACAACACCTCACGTTCAGATCGTAATTGTTGAATTTCCACTCGAAGTGTATGAAGTTCTGTCTGTGTGTTAACATGCTGGTTATCTACATGATGATATCGTTCTTCCATTGTGTTTACACTTTGTCGTAATGTTTGAGTCTCCGCCTGCAGTTGTTGGACAATTCGTTGATGTTCATCCCGTTCGCGGTGCATTGCCTCCTGCAGCGTTCGTACAAATCGATCTCGTTCTAATTGCGATCGCACCTTCGCCTCAGCGGCTTCTTCTAATTGTTTCTGTGTACGTTGGAGTGTAGACTTGGTGGAATTTAAGTCATCCACAAGTGTGGAGAACTCCCGCATTTCACGTTGAATGATGTTTAGATCATGTGCGTGTTTCTTTTCCTGTTGTTTTGCCTCTCGCTTTGTTTGTGTTAACTCCGCAGTGAGTTGGAGAATACGTGCCTTGAGATGAACCGTATCTTCTTCTTCTCCTTCTTCTTGTTGTTGTGATGGATCTAGATCTATTTTATTATTATTATTATTATTATTATTATTATTATTATTATTATTATTATTATTATTGGAATGTATATTAGATGATGATGATACTGATGATGATGATGTTACTATGGCCGTATTAAGAAATCCCCGCAGTTGTTGCATGAGAAGTTCCTTTTCTTCCTGCAATTCCTCTAATTCCCGCTTTAACTGAATTGTTTCCAACTCTCGTCGCTCTAAACAACGGGCCTGTTCTTCTAACAGTTCATCCTTTCGCTGCAGAGTTAGAAGGACTCGCTCAGCCATATCATCATCATCATCATCGTTATCATTATCGTTATTTTCTTCATCTTCTTCATTTTCATTTTCACTGGAGTTTGTATATTCTTCGTACGGTTCAGTTTCATACCCTTCTTCTCTTACATCCATAGGGTTATTATTATTATTATTATTATTATTATTATTATTATTATTATTATTATTATTATTATGTTCCTCCTCCTCCTCTTCTTCTTCTTCTTCTTCCTCTCTTCTTACTTCGGATATGGAATCATTTCCAGTATTATTACTATTATGGCCACTATTGTTAGGACTTGAGGTGTCAGAACTCTTACGATCACCACCCATCCAATTTCTCTGTAAAGATGCGGTGCGATTATTACTATTACTACCACTACTACCACTTTCAGGCCGAGGAGGAAGTGAAGAGGGATATCTATACATTTCTTTTTCTTCTTGTTGATATACATAGTGTGGGTCGTAGGGTTTATTAGCGCCATGACTACTACTATTACTATTACCACCACCACTTCTGTTCCAAATAGAATCATTGGATTTCGTCTCTACTACTAGAATAGAGGGTTCTGCAGAGGAACCATCACCACCACTCATCACAGAGTTTTTTTATTCCTTTCTTTCTTTGTTTCAATCAATCAATCAATTAATTAATCTATCTATCTATATCTAGAAAAACATAAATATATATATATATATGTATGTATAATGGTGACAGTCTCTGTTTGACGGACACACACACACACTTAGAGAAAGAGAAAGGGAGAGTAGATGAGAGAGTTAGTATACGAATAAGGGGAAAATAAAATAAAAATGTATACATATATATAGAGAGAGGAATAACACTATGAGATACTTTTGTAGAAGACCATATGGGAACTGGAGAAAGAACCCAAGCATATAGACACAATACACACAAAGAGGAACCTAAAAAAAAAAAATAAAGAATAACAACTAAAGAAATAAATCAAAAAAATTACAAAATAAAAAAAAACCCAGAGATTTGTATGGTCTTTTTTTTTTTCTTCTTTCCCTTCCCACCCACCACAACTATATATATATATATAGGGGATAAGGTCGGATTAATCATTCCATCGGTGCTGCCTCATTCAATAACTTAAACACATGTCGATAACACATCAACAAGTCTCGCTTTGTGGCTGTACGTCTAAAGGGCGAAAGATGTTTTCGCATATATGCCAACAACGGTGCCCGTGAAGGAAGTAGTGAGAGTATCACCGTCTCATCATCAAATCCCATTTCTAATAACTCTTGTATAGTATGATCGGTATTTTCTTTATTCCCATTCTCTTTGTTGAGATCCCCAGAGCGATGTGGGAATCGCCATGATGGTTTTCTACCCATCATCACCGCATCGGGTGGGCGATAAATAAAATGTCGACAATTAGATGCACCGCAGCGGCATATAGTTTGTAGAGATCGCAGGGGAACTTCACCAGAAAAGATGGGGGCCACACGATGTGTGTAACTTAACGTTAATTCCTCACCCGCCTGCACATCGCGAGTTGTAAAGAAACTATTCGCATCATCAAAGTGTGGGAAGTACCGTATACGCTCTAACAACTCATCCTTTTTATTACTACTATCACTATTACTATTAATATTAGTAATATTAGTATTATCTCTATGAGAATCTGCAGTATTCATCATGACAAGAGGCCAAAACTCCCGTGAGAGTCCACAGCAAACATTTGGATCACAACTATGATTCATCAAATGATGTGAAAGTGGTTGAGTGACGAGTTCCAACAACACACCGGTGGGATGTGTATAGTGCCACGTATCCGGCAGCCGCGTGTGTGTATCGGCGAGTAAAGGTACAAAACTGGCAGCATCCATAAATGTACGCTGTGGAGTTGTAATGATGCGGGTTCCACGCGGTATGTGTTGAGTAGTAAAGATACCACGGCCGTGAATAGAACTGCGGCCTACGCGGAGGGCATTTATTGCCGTTCCGTGCAGTATACCACGGAAGAACGGCATCTCCACACTATCCTTGTTAAGATCGATAGGATTACTATTATTATTATTATTATTATTATTATTATTATTATTATTATTATTATGGCTTCTTGTAGCCACTGCAGCTGCCTGTTCATAGGCGGCGACGTTAATGAGATGCTGCAGGAATCCAGATGATGATGATGATGATGATGATGATGAGGTACCGCTATTATTATTATTATTATTATTATTTAGAGATGTGTGAAGAAGAGGCGGGGCCACACTATACCGTGTATACAGTGAAACCCGCCCAACACCATAGCGAAGATACGCCGTCGCTGTAAGTATATAATATGTGAGTGGCCCAATAAGAGGAGTGGCGAGTGCATTTAGAATTACACTCGAGCGTCGCAGGGCCGCCTCATCACGATGAGAAAGTAATGCCCAATCTACACTAGAACTACTCTCTACTCCCCTTGTTGTTGTTGATGATGATGATGATGATATGATGATGGGTTCTGTTGTAATATCTCCAGTGGAATCTGAGAGATTTTCGAATAATACATGTTCTCTATCCGCGTAATTTGTACGTTTTGTGCGACGATACGGACGTTGTTGTTGTTGTTGTTGTTGAGATTGGATTGGCGATTGGTAAATCCCACGATATTGCCAATAATGTAAAATAGCAACAAGAGATGTCTTTCTATGGACCCGCACTATCGATGACATTATATGAATGAGTTTTCTATTTCTCTACTATTTTTTTTTCTTCTTTTCTTTTGTAGTGAAAGAAGAGAATGGAATAAATAATAATAATAATAATAATAATAATAATAATAATAATAATAATAAAAGAAAACCATCATCAATATATAAAGAGTCCATTAAATGAAGGATGATGTAATGATAGCTATTTTGAAGTTTTTTTTTTTCTCTTTTCATTATTCCAGAAATAATACAGCAAACTCATATGTGAATTACAGAAATAAATAGATAAATTGGATAGAAGAAGAAAGAAATAAAAGAAACAAAGAAAGAGAAAGGAATCCACCCTCCCCTCATATAGATATATATATATATATATATATATATATATATGAATAACTTCCACAAGCTGAAAATAAATTTAGAATGACGGCTGCTGTACTGTTTTTGACTTTTCACTACTTCCCAACGGTACCTTCTTTTGATTATTATGATGATGATCATCCGTTGAATGATTCCGCATACTTTCTCTATGCTGTTGGAGTATCACCGCAAAGTCTGGAGATGGAAGATAACTCGGCAGTACTGTTGGGAGAAGAAATAATTTCTCATTTGTGGCCCCTTCCGCTGCTAATGCCCGGTTGCCGAATAACACCGCAGGTGGTGTACATGGAGAAGAAGAAGAAGAGATATGTGTATTATTATCATTATCTTTCTTATCCATATTACCAACAGCACTATTATTATTATTATTATTATTATTCGTATGGTTTAGGAGTCCTGTAGGTGGGGTAAGAAACTGACATCCAATACTACGCAGTAGAGACTCCAGTGGTTGATTCTGTCGTCTAGCGACAAATTGCGCTAATAGTTCCGCACCACTACGAGATTCTGTTAATCCTATTGTTGTTGTTATTCGTTTTCCTGTTGTTGAGATTGTTTTTCCTCTTGTTGAGATTGGTCGTTTAGGTGTGGTGGACCAGGTTGTTAACTTGGCCACCACCCGCTGTATATAATCTGCAAAGCTTATCACATTTCGTCTAGAGTTTCTGTATTCATGCAAAACCAACAAGAGTGTACTTGCGACCACTTCCTCCACAGATAATGTTGATGATAATGATAGTGAAGATGATGATGATAACGATAATAATGAAGATTCTTGTTTTTCTTTTTCCGCATTTCCACTACTTCCACAGTATGTACATTGTGGACAAACATCTGTAGCTGTACACCAATGCAATCCACCATTATCTACTGTATTATCTTTATCTATATTACTTGTATAGATAGAAGAATCTTGTGTAGATGTAAGGGAAACAACCCCACGCCATGGTTTTCCCGCAAATACACGGAGAACACTATGAAGTTGACTGCGGTGTAATGGTGATGGAAAACGCCAAACACCCCAATCATACAACATCACAGCAAATACACGGGAATGATCTTCATTCATTAATAACGCCGCATCAAAAAAAGATGCGGAAGCCGCAAGATAACCCGCCAACACAAATAAGGCCAGTGGTGGTTCTACTAAAGATGTAGTGGAGACTCTCTCTGTATCCATCACCCAAACATGTAATGCTTGTAAAGGTAAACTATGATCAGAAGATATAAGAGTTGATGATGATGATATTGTTTGTGTTGTTGTTGGGGTTAAATAGGCAATAAGTGAACCTGCAATGGCAATAGGCATAACACTAGAAGCCGTATCACCACGTGGACACCACTGCAAGGCATTTAAATAAGATAAGGGAGATATCATGCAATGACGTAGTTCCACCTCCATCCCACTATCAATATCACTATCAATATGATTAAGATGAGAATGAGAATTAATCATACTATTATCCTTCTTATCACCTTTCATTATCATCATTAGATTATTCTTATTATCCTTATGATGATGATGGCTGTGTCTACGCAGGAGATCGGAAAGTGAGCCTCTACTAAACGTCTCCATCCATTCACGACGAATGCGGAATTGCACGGCAACTGCGAGTCGAGAAAGATGTGCGGCCGTTCGACAGTGTGAGTGAAAGGCAGTGGTGTGGGCCCACGTACTGTGACAAACCAAACAATAGAAATTATCCACCGCATCTCCTCTTGAAGTTAACGTCTCTTTTTCTTCTTTTTCTGAAGAATAAGATGATGATGAAGATAAATAAGGATTCACAGAAGGATGTTGCCGTAATGTGGGAAGTGTTACTTTCCAATAGACAGCACGAGTGAAAGTAACACGCTGTACACTCAACAGTGCGTGTTCCTCCTCCTTTTCTTCTTCTTCACTATTATTATTATTATTATTATTATTGGGAGAACTCCCCGTTGTCATCATAGTAGTTTCATCTTTCTTTATATCTCCCAGTTGTTGTTGTTGTGATGATACTGATAATAAAGATGATGATGATAATAATGATGATGGGTTTTCATCAGAAGAAGAGAATGGTGTTGGGAAGAATTCATCATATCCCGCACGCCTCACATCACTGCGGAGCAACACACACGCACGGCCGTAACTATCATTCCACATCACCCGCACATCCTCCTCGCCACCATCACTCTCAGACCGCAGAGTAGAGAAACGAATACGATGTCTATTATTATTATTATTATTATTATTATTATTATTATTATTATTATTTCTACTACTATTAGGATCTCTGAGATGAATACCCCTTAACTCGCCTTGTGTGGTAGGAACAGTTTCCACATTACCAACGTTAGAATTCCTCTTCTCAGCGTTTATCCCCACAGCAGCAGCAGCAGCACCCAAACAATTTATATCCATCTTGCTATTGTTTACAGGAGTTGTGGATGGGGGTAATAACAGGGCTAGACGTGTTAATGCTCCTTGTATAGAAACAAGTAAACTAATACCAATATGAGCCAAAACAACACCAGCGTTTGTTGGAGCTACAATGCCTTGTTCAAACGGTAATACATGAGGTTTCATTAATTCTTCTTCTTTGCATTTCTTCAGATCTTCTGAAACGTTTTCATTCTTCTCATTATTATTATTATTATTATTATTATTATTATTATCCTTCTTTTCATGACTAAACTGTGCAATGGCGGATCGTCCGCTTGAGAAGAGATCCATTTGAGAAAGATTCGTTCCGAGAAGATACGGTTCCAACACATTTCGTAAAGCCTCTGGTGTTAAACGATCATACAATATCGCTCGACGCCCATTCTGTTGGGATGATTGGTTTGTATGAAGATCTACAGTAAAAGAACAGGTATGCTGTGTATTCTCCTCCTGCAATCCACCTAAATTCCGCAGAAGCCGCCGGTGATGTAAACGATGAGATCCATCTTCACCCCGCATGGTATTTCTCGCAAAGGCAGCGACAAAGGCTGCTGCTAAACGATGTTGGACGGTTCCAAACATAATATGCGATCCACTTTCAATATCTCGTATCTTATTTAGATTCTTATTACTATTAAGATGATGTGAATAAAGAGAATCTTTTTTTGCATTTCCACTACTACTACTAGTAGTAGTAGTAGTAGTAGTAGTAGTAGTAGTAGAGAGAGTTTGTTGTAATTGTCGAATAAGTTGTTCATCATATGGATACCAGTGAGTCATGGTACCAGACTTCTGTGATAATCGATGACGGGCATGTTCATAGGCACAACGGTGTAATCGAAATAGTGAGTTTGCTAATAATGTACGGTATGTTTGTGGAAATGCCGTACCAATAAGTTCTTCCAATGCCTCTGTGCTGGGCTTACGTACAGCGATATCATGTTCTCCATACAATTCCTCTTCCTCTTCTTTTGTATAATTCGTATTATTATCACTACTATTAATATTACCATCCGTACCTTGACTGTGAGTAGACTTGATGCTATTCTTTGAATTATTATTATTAATATTATTGTTATTATTATTATTATTATCAAGTCGAATAAGACGATATAAACGTGAGGCACAGAGAGCGACGGTATTATCCACAAGACGGAGAGAACTTCGATTGACGCGGTATTTACGTTGAAACTCCACAACATCTGGTGTGTTTGTACACGCATACCACTCACGTAATAAGGATAAAAGCATAAGTGGTTCACTTAGATGATACTCATTACCATTTCCATTCACATCATCACTATTATCATCACCATCTTCATTTTTTTCTTTTTCTTTTTTTTCGTCTTTTCCTCCTACTCTTGCCAGTTCACGTTGTGATTGTAGAGACTGAAGATAATGAATAGCTGGTGTTTGTGTTTGAGTTCCACTTTCACCTTGAGCTGTCATGCGTGGAGATGTGAGGAGTGTTGGTACAGTCATTGCACAGGCAATCAATACAGCATCTTCTAAACATGCAAACTGTAAAGCAAAATAAAGTAATAACGCCTGATTGTATGGGATGGGAAGATACGCCACAAATTCTCCTTTAGCGGTTAAACTCGCCTTATCGTAATAATGAAAGATTTCGTATAAATCTTTATTATTATTATTATTATTATTATTATTATTATTATTTCCTGATATCCGCAGAAGACCCAATTCCTCTAGTTGTTGTAGTCCACACCTCATCGCAGCGGCAGTGGGTGGATACGGTAAATAACGCACCAACGCACTCGGCCGTGTTGGAAATAAATGTTTCACCCGCAACAACACCGCCGGTGTATTCACTGCCCCACTATCACCATCCAAAGAGAATGCATTATTATTATTATTATTATTATTATTATTATTATTATTATTATTATTATTATTATTATTCTTTATTCGTGCGGAATAAAAGAAACGACGAGGGGCGAGTCGCACAACGAGTCCATCACATGTACGCCCCGTACGGCCCCCACGTTGGAGTCCACTGCCGTTCTTCACAAGAGTTGTGCGCCGCAGCACCACACCAGTGAGTGGATCGGAAATAAAAGAACGCTCCAGACAAGAATCCACAACACAGCGAACATTTGGAATCGTCACGGAACTCTCCGCAACGGTGGTGGAGAGAATAATACGATGGGAAAGATTAACAGCCGCCGTATCGTGTAATTGCTGCTGTGGACTGCCAATAGCAGTGGAGTGAAGAAGGGCAACGGAGAAACACCAATGTTCATACTGAAGAAGAATTACATTACCATTTCCTCCCGTACTACTAGAAATATTGGCACTATTATTATTATTATTATTATTATTATTATTATTATTATTATCATTATTACTGTTGTTGTTGTTAGGGGTGACTTGTCGATGAGATCCTCCAACGGCCCCTACATCTACGGTTTGACACAACAACTCCAGTGACTGCAGTACTAGTGAAATCTCTGCAAAACCTGGTAAAAACACCAGAATACTCTCCGGATGATGTTCTTCTTTTCCTTTTTCTTTTTCTTCCTGCTTCTGCTTCTTACTAGTCGTTATCGATTTCCGTGAAGTTGACGCAAACGTTTGTAAAATAAAGAGAACAAACTGTGCTAATGTTCGTGCCTGTGGAGTATGGAATTCAGCTCCAAATCTCGTATATGAAAAGTAATGTCCAAGTGATGCCATCACCCGCCGTGCAGGAGCTGAGAATAGTGGAGATGATTCACTTGTGGAGAGTCCAGAGCTTTTCTGTGCAGTTGTGTTGTGTAAGACTTGCGATTTTCCAATCTCGTCAGGGAGATCATCGATAAAATATTCTTCAATGCGAAATGGATGAATGGCAATCGTATTTGAAGAGGCATCATTAGCATTCATATCTCTCTGTCGGTTAAAGACATTATCAATAAGAAGAATTTGTGGAGTTTTCTTTACTCCTGCTTTTCTTTTTCTTCTTCTTCTTCCTTCTCTTTCTTTTTCCTCTTCTCCTTCAACTACTTCTTCTTCTTTTCCATCTTTTTCATCTTTTTCTGCTTTTGTGATTATTCCTTTCCCTGTAGATTCTTCCATTCCATTACAATACTCTGAAGTGAGAAAAGCCACCATCTGTTCTACCGGTAATGTAGCGGACATCAACACTAATTGACGAAGTCCTACAGAAGTGCAGTGTGGCTTCTCAAATAACTGTTGTCTTGCCCATGCTAACAACATATCTGTTTCCATATCACGACAATGTACCTCATCAATCACAAGTGTTGTGGGTGAAAACATTTTATTTTGATGTTGAAGTGCATTTACGATAAAACCAGGAGTTGCAAAGATAATTTCCGTCGCCGCAGAGAAACAAACATCACCACCAACAGCATAACCCACACGACCTCCCACCTCTCCTATTCCAGAGATGGATTCTTCTCCTCCTTTTCTTCCTCCTCTTTCTTTTTCTTTTTCTTCTTCTTCTGATGATAATAATAATGACGATGATGATGAAGAAGAAGAGGCTATAAGAGATGCGGTGAATTCTGCCAGTTCCTTACAGGCTAGTCGTGTTGGCTGCGAGACAACAATACACACACGACTACTCGCAGCAAACTCCGTCACATACGCACGTACCCCACCACCACCACTACTGCTATTATTATTATTATTATTATTATTATTATTATTATTATTATTTTCTGTTGCAGATGCAAACGGTAACGGTGGTGTTAATCCATTTCCACGATTATTAATATTCATCGGGGCATCAATGCGCTGTAGCAGACGTTCCCAATGTGCGTCCAGCAGCATTAAAGGCACTAAACTACTCTTTCCACAACCAGTAGGTGCACTACAAACAAAAAGAGCAGGTCCATCTTGTTGTGGTATGGGAAGTGCAGAAGATGGAAGAAAATGTATTCCCCATGATGGGCGTTGTTGCCAAACGGGGAGTCTTTGTAGTGATGGATGTATACTTACCATTTTTCTCCAATTAAGTCGTTTATGAAGAACATTTCTTCGAAGCTTTTCTACAAGAGTTGCTGAGACGACCATAGGATTCTTTAATGATGATGATGATTGTAATTGGGGAGTTGTATTAACTTTCTTTTTATTATTTGTACGCTTTGCTGTAGTGGTGTGATGACGCAGTGAATTCGTGGTATGTACATTAGAAGCAGAAGTAAAGATTTGTGCCACATAAGTACATCCATCTGATGTGGATAACGATAATGATGATGATGATGATATTTTATTATTATTATTATTATTATTATTATTATTATTATTATTATTATCCCTTCTATCATTGTTGTTATTTTTCTTCTTTTTATTCACCACATCTTTACGCTGGGCGATCATCTGTAAAAGGTTACTCATACTACTGCGTGGAACCGTACGTGAAATATTTCTTGATGCTTCTTCTTTTTCTTCTTCATTTAGCTTCTTCACTGAAGAAAGATGAGGGAATTCTTTTACTTTCCCATCTTCCTCTTTTTCCTTTTCTTCTTCTGTTTGTTTATTACCATCATTGCCTTTATGGCTGATATCTTCTTCACTTCTGTGGGAAATGACTGGCCGTTGTGTGGATGGCCCAACAGTGTGTAGACTACGAAGTGTTAACAAACCACATGTACATCGCCGCATTTACCCGTTAATCCACAAAAGCCCAAATGTAAACAGAGTTAAGACCTCACTTTAATGCCTGTTCCTATTTCTATTTCTTTATCCCCCTTCAGAGAGAGAGAGAGAGAGATAAAGAAAGAAAGACAAAAAAAATCGATCCCACTTTTACTACCTCTCTCTGTATGTATGAATGAATGAGTGATGGTAACTTCCCCACCTCCTCTTCCCTAAGAACAGCCAAAAAAAAAAGTAAAAGAAAAAAAAAAAAACATATATATGGTTCACCAAAACAAGCACAGCAACCTGTTACGAAAAGGAAAATCGCAGCATATAATACGCACACTTCTGCAGCAGCGCTGTAAACTGTTTATTCCAGCAAAGGAAGCTTTTAAAAACAGTGAAGACATCCACAGAAAACAGAAAAAAGATATTACCTGAAAAGCACAAATCGGCAAAAAAAAAGTTCAAAAAACCCCACAAAAAGGCTCCAATAAAAAGAACAACACAAGAAACACCGTAAAATCCACTTGGGAAGCAAATCAAAATAAAAAAAAAAACAAACATATAGTTGCAATAACCATGGGAAACCCCCATAAAAAGGACCCCTTATCCAGCACAATATTATTTTTAGAGTATATTGGGTCCAATTATAAATATATATGTATGTATGTACGTATGTGTATAGATATATATTCCATTTTTCACGCTGTTATTCCCACTCTGACAGCCCTTCGTTCTGAAGAATCACATTTTAAGAACAATAACAACAACAAAAAACATATTGCAAATTATGACCTTACTGGCCCCCATGCATGGCGCAACCCTTTCCCAACACTCAAGCTCACACAAGCCTCTACAGCAATAAGAAGGAAACACAATGTAGAATATCAAAGCGAAAAGAAAAGGGGATGAAATTGCCCATTTTAGACAAAAAAAAACCTCAAATAGAATCTCCATCCCCAAACAAATTTATAGAGTTGCCTTGGTTTCATTTCGTGATTTACCCCAGAACTCTTATATATATACATATATTAACTTGGGTGAGTCAAGTAAAAACCATAAAAGTACTACTTTAGTTCCTCCCTCCTTATTCAGTGAGCGAGGTCGCTGTGTGCATGCACACCGTATACATTACCCACAAAGTAAAGAAGGGAAAACCCCCGAGAGGAAAGGCAACATATATACCACACGAAAGTACATTGCGTTTTAACGCAACAAACGATAGCTTTATCCCTCTCCTTTTCTCAGGGTTCTACCCAACCCATCTCACTCCATATGCCACACACACAGCCATTAAGCAACAGATGGGTCAATTTGAAACGGTTTTATCAGCGAAAACTCCTGCTGCAGGTCGATTGGTTTGGTAGCACTCAGCTGCGGTACCTGCTGAAATCGTTTTCTTCGAAGCATATCGCGTGTGGCAATTATTGTGTCCTGGTAGGAACGATGCTTGTTCTTCAGAAGGATGTACGTAAGGCACTGTGTGGCTGCCCCACCAGCCCCTGATGTGCCCGTCCCGAAGGTGGCGGTATTTCCCACATCAGCAGATGTCTGTTCATCTGCACATCCAGATATCATTAGAACATCAGCCTCTGAGTCATTTCCACTGCGAATGCGTTGCATGTGACAATTTGCTGCTCTACATAAACTCCTGTTTCCCACAAATGTGAATGGTAAATCAAGCATGGATCCAGAGTGACAGCAGTCAAAGACAGCGGTAAGCCGCACCCCTGGGGGAAGTCGAGAAACGAGAATCTTGTTAATATCATCATCCAGAATACACCCGTTACTTCGGAAGTCCACAGGTACAATACATTGATCTTGCTCTTCTTCTGCATCTTGTAATGCCCGTGTATGGGTACCATGACCTGAGAAATGTAGAAAGAGTACATCACCCGGTTTGGCATCCTTTACCAGCCATGCCATGTAACGAATGATGTTAGCCCGTGTCGGTTGTTCGGTACGACCAGGGAAATCCTTTTCATCCACAAGAATATTAACCTCATTGATGGGAAACTTCTTCTTCTGGAATGTGGCAAGCATTTGTTTAACATCATTACAGCAGCCGGAGAGCTGGGCGCTGGTACCATAGTAGTTGATACCAATGAAGAGTGCACGAACGGTGCCGCTCCCAGGACTTGGGGCCTCCCATGGTTGGTATCCTTGCGTGTTCCCAGCCTGCTCAAAGGCCTCATCCACATCCACATTAGGTGGTCTATTCACCTCACCAAGGTACTGGACAATATACGGGCCAGCAATTTTGATGAGTTGCAAACCAAGTTCCACATAGGAAGTGTTTTTGGCATCCAGGCCCAAGAGCTTTAGAAGACATCCAAAGTCACAGCCCATTTCCTCAGTTCTTTCGTATTATCAATGTATGTATGTATATGTGTGATCTATTGAGTTTGTATTTTTCTTTGGATGTGGTTTTTTTTTTTCCTTTAGGCACACGTGGTCTTACCCCTAGAATAATACATTCGAACATACATGGCTCATGGAAGGAGAAAACAAATGAATGTGATAGAAAGCAGAGAAATATCATACAATAAGGGGTAGAGTATGTAGCTGTATCAGGAATAAAGGGGAGAGAGGGAGAGAGTAAATGCTGGAGATCTATAATAGAGAAATGTGAGCCATAGAGTTAAGAACAAAAAATAAAAGACATGAGATAAGACTAATATTTATTATAAACTATGCATATCATATTCATTGCGTTTAGGCTTTCCCATAGGTAAAAGCAGGAACAATGAAAAGATACAACAGAATGATATGAAAAAATAAAACAAAACATACACATTTTCCTTTCCCTTACTTTTTTTTTCTTTACCTTTCTACTTATTCCCTTTGCCATTCTGTAGCATTATTTGACAATCTTTTCCTTTTTTTTTTTATCACAACCTTTTCTCACATCTAATTTTCTCTAAAGAAGATAATTGCATTGCCACAGTCTCCCACCCCACCCACGGTCTCACACCTGCCTACAATGAAAGACCAATGCAGTGACAGTGGCAATGAAAAGGTTGATCCCCACCCCTAAAAAACAACAAAAAAACCACTTTTAACCCTATAAAGAGCAGCATAGCTCTACCAAAGACATTGCCGACTCATTTTACTTTTCTTTTCATTCGTACATAGAATGAATCCCAAACCACTTATTCACTCACTCCACTCTAGCTTACTTACTGCGATCTAGTGTGCGTACACCACCGCGCCAATATATACTTGAGGTTGAACCCATAAAAGTATTACTTTAGTTCCTCCCTCCTTATTCAGTGAGCGAGGTCGCTGTGTACATGCACACCGTATACATTACCCACAAAGTAAAGAAGGGAAAACCCCCGAGAGGAAAGGCAACATATATACCACACAAAAGTACATTGCGTTTTAACGCAACAAACGATAGCTTTATCCCTTTCCTTCTCTCAGGGTTCTACCTAACCCATCTCACTCCATATGCCACCAACACAGCCATTAAGCGAAATAAGGGTCAATTTGAAACGGTTTTATCAGCGAAAACTCCTGCTGCAGGTTGATTGGTTTGGTAGCACTCAGCTGCGGTACTTGTTCGAACTTCTTACTTCGAAGCATATCGCGTGTGGCAATTAGTGTATCCTGGTAGGAAAGATTCGACGTCTTGAGTAGGGTGTACGTAAGGCACTGTGTGGCTGCCCCACCAGCCCCTGTTGCACCCGTTCCAAAGGCGGCGGTATTTCCCACATCAGCAGATGTCTGTTCATCTGCACATCCAGATATCATTAGAACATCAGCCTCGGAAAAGTTTCCCCTACGGATACGTCTCATATGACCATTTGCTGCGCTAGTTAAAATCCTGCTCCCCACAAATGTGAACGGTAAATCAAGCATGGATCCAGAGTGACAGCAGTCAAAGACAGCGGTAAACCTTACCCCTCGGGGAAGTCGAGAGACGAGAATCTTGTTAATATCATTATCCAGAATACACCCGCTACTTCGGAAGTCCACAGGTACAATACATTGATCATATCTTTCACCCACATCATGTAATGCCCGTGTATGGGTACCATGACCTGAGAAATGTAGAAAGAGTACATCACCCGGTTTGGCATCCTTTACCAGCCATGCCATGTAACGAATGATGTTAGCCCGTGTCGGTTGTTCGGTACGACCAGGGAAATTCCTTTCATCCACGAGTATATTAACCTCTTTGATGGGAAACCTCTTCTTCTGGAATGTGGCAAGCATTTGTTTAACATCATTACAGCAGCCGGAGAGCTGGGCGCTGGTACCATAGTAGTTGATACCAATGAAGAGTGCACGAACGTTGCCGCTCCCAGGACTTGGGGCCTCCCATGGTTGGTATCCTTGCGTGTTCCCAGCCTGCTCAAAGGCATCATCCACATCCACATGAGGTGGTCTACTCACCTCACCAAGGTACTGGACAACGTACGGACCAGCAATTTTGATGAGTTGCAGACCAATATCCATGTAGTTTATGGGTCCACCGGCACCACGTGCCTTCTGGACCACATTAAACATATTTTTTATACATGTAAGGTCGAATCCCATTTTCTTTTACTTTTTTTTTTCTATATATATATATATATATATATATAAATATATTCGGAACTTATTACCTATAAGATAGTTTTTCTAGTGTTGTATGTTTGATTGATGGCAGGTTTTTTTCCTTTTTTTATTTTTTTTAGTGTTTTAGAATGCTTACTTAGTTATTGTGTGTTTGCTTGTATTTATCTAAGAATTAATGTTAGTATATGGGAGGCATAGAGAGAAAGAGAGAGTTTTCATTCAGTGCTGTAGATAATCATTAGTTAGGGCCGTGATCATGAGAGTATTATTTCGCAGAAGTTTAAAAAAAGAGTATTATTATAAACAAAGAGAACAAAAAGACAATCCGGAAGAGAACTAAGAAGAGAGAGATAGCGAGAGCGAGAGAAAGAGGACCATTACCATAAAGAAAGAAGCATATATATATATACTTCTTTTCTTTCCTCATCTTTTGTAGAGTTTTATTATACGTTCTTTTTTTTTTTGTTTTGTTTTTGCTTCTCTTTCACGTCATGTAGTTTGTCTCCTTTTCTTTTCCTTTTGCATACTAGTGTAGCATTACCAAGAACATCAACTGATTCAGCGAGAAAACAAAAAAAAAAAAAGAAAAAAACGAGCGAACATAGGAACAAATAAATGAACCAGAGTAACTACTACAATAAGGGATAGGAATGAAAAATAAAGTACGATTACAACACGTGACAACATATGTGTCCTTTTTAGTCTCTTTTTTTCGTTTTAAATGTTTCGCGTCTTTTTTTCTGTTTTTTTTTTTTTTTTTTTAATTGATTCTTTTTCTTCAGTTATTCCTTTTTCTTTCGCATTTCCAGTGCATATATATATATATATATGTACGACTTAATCATTTTCCATAATGACCTCCCCACAGCCCAGTCCCATTACCGTTAAGAGAGATTCTCCAGCGTTTTTCGAAGCTCCACCAGTTCCTTTTCTTGTTCTTCTAACCAAGGTATACCACCCCTTCCGATAAAGTCCTCATATGTTTTAGTGTACTTTGCAAGTTCCTTAGAAAGCTTCTTTTGCTCCTTCTCATTCACCACTTCACCCGTTGTAAGTTTTGTTGGTAATCCGGTTTCTGTACTGAACTCGGCGTAAATCCTCCCCTCCACCGCCTTTGCCGCTTCCCGCTCCTGAAAGTACATTAAGGGTGTACATGTATACTGCCGCCACTTCTCCGTTAATTTACGTTTTGTTTCAATTTGATTTTCAAGTTTCTTTCGCTGTTCTAAACATTGTTGTTCTTTGCGTTCTGCCATTTCCCGCATGAGTACTTCTCTGTCATCGCTTTTCCACGTGGTGGGACCCGCCGGGTTATCCTCAATGCGAATCCCCGCCTGCACAAGCCACTCATCCCGCACGGCATCACACAAGGGAAGAAACACACCGCCGCTCCCCTGCGCTTTCGCCGCATCCCGCACCTCATCACGAAATCGCAAAAGGGCATCCATTACAGTAACAAGACGATCATCTTTGCCTTGTTGTTGTTGTTCAGTTAATCCAATAGCGTCTGTACCTTCCACCAGACCAAATACCTGCAAGATACGAGTAACATAACGGCCTACCTTACGTACTAAGGTTGCACTTGGTCTTTCACCCGTAAGAAGATATTGATTTGTTGTACTCACCAAACGCATAATGGCATCCATTGCTGTGGGAGTATCAAAGTTATTCTGTAACGCCGTATGTACAATATCCTCTACTTCTATCCATGTTTCAGTGAGATTTCGATCATGTTCATTAAATCCTTGTGTATCTGACCAATAATCTTTACGTAGTACAATATCTACACTTCCAAAGAATGCCCGAAGTACACGTTCACGTTCTTTTGCCTCATCAATACTTTGATCTGAAAAATTCATAGGTTTACTCCAATGATTTGAAAGAAATAAGAGTCGCATCGCACGTGGCGTGACTCCCAACTCATCCAATGCCTGGCGAATGGTAATAAAATTCTTTAAACTCTTACTCATTTTCAATCCCTTAATATGTAAATGACCACAATGAAGGAAGTAATTAACCCATTGTTGCTCCAGATGACAGGCCTCACTCTGTGCACATTCATTATCATGATGTGGAAATTTTAAATCCCACCCTCCACTGTGTATATCCATATTTTTCCCAAGTATATCTGATGCCATTACGGAGCATTCAATATGCCATCCAGGTCTTCCATCACCCCAAGGAGATTCCCAACGTGGTTCTCCCGGTTTTGAGAATTTCCACAAGGCAAAGTCATTTGGAGCCCGTTTCTCTCCTGCTACGACTGAACTTAACGCTCCTTCTCCCTCTGCCATCTCCGCCTCCGTCGCATTACGTTCCTCTCGATCACTTACAGGCTTCAACTTTGGATAATCATGACCAGCCTTTGCAAAGGCAACGGTATCAAAGAATATAGATGTAGTTCCACGGTAGGCAAATCCATTATCCATAATCTTCTGAATAAACTCAATAACCTGTGGAACATATTCTGTGACTCGTGTAACTACATCAGGTTCTCGAATACCAAGACGTTGCATATCTTCAAAGAACAGACGTTCATACTCACGGGCATGTTGTTCAAATATACTCTGATCTATCACAGCATGTCCTTCTCGCACATCAAGAAGGTCACCATTTACACCAGAGGCCGCCTTGAAAAGAGTATCAAAATCTCCAGAAGAAATAGCTGCCGCAATACGTTCTTTTGCTTCTTGAAATTGTGTCTTTTTTAGATCAAGTTCCAGCAACTTTTCCTCTCGTTCGGATTTGGCTCTACTTGGCGCTGTCTCTGGAATAGGCTCTGATAAACGTTGTGCCAAAGCGGCAAGTGAAGCTTCTGCTGCTGCTTGCGCTTCTTTTGTGAAGGAAACAAGTTTCGCAAAATCAGATCCCTGCAATGTCTCTTCACGGAAACGTTTTAGTAGAGCACCAATACGAGCCCTCTTAATAATTTTATCATCAATATCTGTAATATTCATTTGATACAGAACCTTATATCCAAAGTAATCCTCCATGATACGACGCAAAATATCAAAAGTAAGATATGCACGGGCATGTCCCATATGCGAGACATCATATACTGTAGGTCCACAGGTATACCAACGCACAAATCGTCCTACACGCGGGGCGAATGGTTCCACAGTTTCTGTGAGTGAATTAAGTACATTAAGACCTTTTCCATCATTATGCGTTGGTGGGTACCATGGTGGATGACGCGGGGCCTGCACGGGATCTTCGCTCCTTAACCCTTCGGCCACCACCACTTTCTGTTGTTGTTGTTGTTGGCCAGAGCTCATACTGATTGCAATAGAGGAAAGGGACGGTGGAATGCGGAAAGATCGAAAATAACGCGTGGTTGTGAAGTGTAACACTAAAAGAAACCTGCTAGGGTTTTTTGTTTTTTTCCTTTTTTTTTTTTACCCTAGCTTGCAAGTATGCTGTTTAGGTAAGACTTAAGAGAGAAAGAATGAGTAAAATAAATAAAAAAAAAACAAACATTATTTCAAATACAAGCAATAACTTATATGGTTTGGTAATATTAAAAAGATTCCACATTGTTTATGCAATAAAAAAAAACCTGGTTTTCTTTATTTTCGTGGGGTGAGGATAAGGGAGAACAAAAAATAATGCGGCAATGTGAAAAAGTCTTCTGTTTTTTTCTTTTTCGCCCAATACAATGATATCCCCTCGTATATTGAGTCAAGTATAGATGTAAAAAAAAAAAAAAAAACAAAGAAAAAAACCACTACAAGTAATATCGCAATCCATGTAAAGAAAAAAACAAGAACAAAAACCCATATATAAGCAAACCACACTCAAATCACTGTTGGCGGGCCCCTTCGCACATTCCAGATAAAAGCAAAAGAACAAAAAAAAAAAAAAAATGGCATATATATATATATATGGGGTTTCTGTATAAATATCAAAGCAAATGAGAAACAAAAACATAATTCCAGAGAAATACATACACAGACGGATATATATATATATATATATATAGTCAGTACGTGTTGACGTATATATTTATTTATTTTACTTCACGCCGAGGAAGTACTGGGAGAGGTTTTCTAGGCTTGTGTATATATCCACCAAAGGCATCAGGGAATTTACACTTTTTCCAACCCATACGATGCATGACGACTTCCACTCCCAAAGTGTGTATAGGTGCATCTCCCCAACGATACTGCATAATCCCTCGTGGTTCCTCTTCATCCAAGAAACGAAACATAGATGTATACAATAAATGACGTTTTAACGCTATTGTACCAATCTCAAAATTATTGTAGTACATAAACGCACGAAATTTCTTCTTTCCCAGAGTTTCATTACCTGTAACAAACTTATCCGTAATAACAGAAATTTCCTCTTGTGTTAACGTACTATATGCCCAACGCTGAAACGTTGTCCATAAATCCTTCGTCACAGAGGGAGGATCTTTCTTTATATACATATATCCATACGAACATTGATGTAACTGCATTACCTGAAAGACATCACAGGGAACATAAGTAGTAAGAAACGAATCATCATCTAACCTCCAGTAGTAATCATAAGCGTCCAATGAGGGAAGTTGCCAAACAAGTCCTGCCCAAAAACGACACATAATACGATATCCACGTCCCTGAGTCTTTCGCTGTGATCCTGTGGACATCCATGTACGCAATTGATCCTCAGAGATGCCATCTGGTAACGTATTCCAGAATCTACTTACATCCTCCAACTCTACACGGTATGCAGAAGGTATGGCAGCAGTTATTGCCAAACGCACATCATCCGATAAGTTTTCATGAAATATATGAACAGGATACGAATAATTTTTAAGAAAATAAGCCTCCAAACGTGGCAGCATATCAGATACAAATCGATCCGTACTCTTACCAATAAGTATAAGTATAACACCATTCACAGAGCCACGAACCGGACTAAAACGCGGGCAAGTTGCCAAAACACGATTCCCATCAAGTGTTTCCACTGTACGTACAGCCTCAAATGGTGCGTAACACAGAAAAAAAGAAAATACAACCATCAACACAACGAAAAAAAAAAGATAAAATATCCTCCCAACAGAACGTTTTTTTACATGGGCCATCTTAGTAATATGAGGTAGGGGGAAGGAGGGAAATAAGTGCTCTTAAGCAGTACAAACAAGAAAGAAACAAAAAAAAAAAAAAGCAAATAAAAACAATTTTACCCCCACAGAAGACAAACACAAAAAAAAAATATATAAACCATATCATCTAATTCAAAAACAAAAAAAATGTCATTCCATAACCAATACCAAAAAGTCCAGGCAGAAGAAAAAATATATTTCTGCGGTTCCCTCCTCAACGACTTTACCGCAAAAAAAAAAAAAAGATTTGGTACACAACATCTTCAAGCAACTCATAATCCAACACACGAATAGTGCAACACAAATCAATAAAAAACCAAAATATACAGAACAAGAATAATAATATAACCAAAAAAAAAAAAAAAACAATCCCCAAAAGAACACAACCAAAATATTAATCAACACTACTAACACAAATAACTCAACAACACCAATCCAACACAGCTAACATCCACCAACACAACAACATTAACAACAAAATAAAAACATAACTAATAGTGACTTATTAACACAGTTAAAAAGAAACACACTCACCCCACGAGTTCTTGATGATCCAGTACGGTGGATTGCTGCTGTCATCGTAGCCGACAAGAAGTACGCCGTGGTTCAACTGGTCCGATTCACAGTTCGTCAAAACACCACTTACGTACGACAGAAAGCTGTTGGCGTCGACAGCGATAGCAATGGGTCCATTGGTAGCAAGCCATGCCGCCATCTTGTCCTCATCTTTTGGCAAGTCCACAAAGCCAGTGACTGTCGCACCAACCTCATGTTCACTTGTCGAGCACGCCGGCGTTTGACCGGAGCCAGAGACGTAGGGATAGCTGCTCTCCGTGTACACCTTGCCCTTGTTCGAATCCACGAGCCACTTGAAGGCGTTGTCCATCAAGCCGCCATTGCAGCCTTCATCCACGGTATCACAGGACACAAGCAGCTGCTCTGACAAGCGTGTCAGTGGGTTGCCGGCCATGTGCCACTGGCTCTCGATGTTGCCAATGGCGGAGAAAGCCCAGCAGGAGCCGCAGCTGCCCTGATCCTTCACTGGCGTCACGGCTCCCTTCGTGCGCCAGTCCACCTGCGCGGGCGCATTCCCGGCAGGCACCTCCACTGGTCTCCGCAGACGCCTCTCCGCCATCTTGAAGTACGCCTCACCATTGATGTAGCGCTGACGGAACTCCTCGCGTGTGAGGTCAGAGAAGCGTGTCACGCCGAACATTGCGTGCGGGTTTGCCTTTGCCTCCAGCTCTGCATGCGCAAGGTTCTCCTTGAACACGCGCAGACGATACGCCTCCTCACCAGCATCCCTGTACACCTTGCCGTACTTCTGCTTGAAGGCCGCAAACTTCGATGCCAGAGTGTCGTCAGCACGCATGCTTGCCATCGCCGCGGGGATGGTGCACAGGATGATGGCCAAAGCAGCCAAAGACACCAGAGTGTGGGTCACCTTCATGGTATCGGATTGTACGTTTGTTTGTTTGCCTTCTTGCTTGCTTTGTTATTATTTGCTATACTAATGTTTTGGCTTAACTATCAATGGTGATTGAAATTGAGGGGGAAAAATGGATATGGTTGCCGCATGGCATATAGGCTTATGTTATTCTTTTTATTTATTTTACGATTTTTTTGTTGTAATTGTTTCTAAAGCTGTGGTTTATTATTTTGATTGTATGCCACACGTAGTTTAGATGGATATGATGTTAATCTAGAAACCACTTTTTTCAATGTTTCTCGTTTATAAGTTTGTGGTACTATTAGTGCGGTGGTGAATGGTGCGAAAGTGAGAATAATGGGATTTACTTCCTTTTTTTTTATTTTCTGCAATGTTCGTCAGATGGGTTTAATGCCATTTTATTGTTTTTTGATGTTGTTGTATAGTCAAAATGTTGCTCTTATTTGTTTCTTGTAGTAATTTGGATAAGTTTTTTCTTTTTATTTTTTGTTTGAACTTGGATAGTGTAGCATAAATTATTGGATTTAAAGTGTGGATTAGTGCGGTTGTATAACGCAAATGTATTGTGTTTACATTATTTTAGTTTGTATAAACCCGATGGTGATAGTGGTATTGGTGCATAATGTATGATGAATTAATAAAAGTGTACGTCCAGGTGTTTACCCTATCAGTGTTAAAAAGTGATTTAAAAAAAAAAAAAAGAAAGAAGTAAGCCGAATACAGGTAACTTTCTCTTTTTTCTTTCAAATATCTTCGTGAGATATTTTGATTGTGTTTAAATGAGTTCATGTTCCCTATATATTATCAGTTTTTTTTTTTTTTTTGTTGTTGTGTGTGTGTGAATCATACAATAAGGCGATCTGCGGTGAGATTTCACTGTAGCCAATGAAAGACACAAGTTTTGATTCTCTTTTTTTTTTTCTTTTCTTTTTACTCTGATGGCTTTCTAACCATAATGTACCTTCGAACACCAGTCTGGTCCAATACCACTTGTCCCCACCATTCCAGAATGGTGATGTAAAATTTGTACCTTTACTATTTACTTCAACACCCCGCATCACTGTAAGAATATCTGCTGCAAGTGAAGAGGGTTTAACAGTGTTACTTGATGGGATAATAACAATTTCTCACTTTCGTTACGGTACATTGCTGCTCTCTTGTGCATTCCATAGTGGTGTTGCCAGGTGTAAGTGTAGATTCCTTTTTTTTTTTTTTTTGTACATAGATACATCCGATTTATTGTCACTATTTTTTATGTACATGCGATAATAATAACATATAAAAATTCTGTGTGGAATTGTTCTTCATCTTCTTCTTCTTGTTTTTCTTGTTTAGATCCCTTTGCATGTGTACGCTGTGGTCTTGGAGTAAATCTATGTATTTCTTCTTCTTTCTCTTTCCTCCTATTGTTAATATTATCACTGATAATGACATTAACGGACGGGACCCGCTGCACTACGTGGACTTCAGACACCGACGGATTTCTTTGTTTTCATCATCAAAAACAGAGAATGCATTTAATATGTTGAATGTCAGTAGCATTCATACTACAGTAGAAGCAGCAGCAGCAGCAAATAAACAAATGGAACTTCTTCCATTTCTGTATACGCAGGCTCATAGAACTAATTAAATAAATATAAATATATTTATAGATGTGTTCTTCTTCCTATTTTTATTCTGCTTCTTTGCAGTTCAGAGTTCTTTTATAGCATAAACATTTGGAAAGTGATACATGCTGGGAGATGCCGAATCGCAACAGTCACCATGTATATGCACATATCTGCAGACCAAATGGGAAAGAAATAGAAAAGAAAAGAAAAAAA